CACCTTGTTGTCTTGTACTGCAAGAACAAGGTTCTCGCTTTCCTCATGGAAAAGACCCGAAGCAGCAGAATTCTGGTTTTCAAACTCAATGCTGGCTTAAGTTGACCTCCCTGAATTGCAGCCAACTCTAGCCTGCAGTCCTTTTGGCAGATAATAAAGCTTTCTCTTAGACTGACACTTACTATTTTTAACTGGTGCTTAAGAAAGCACCACTATATAGTTCGATCCCTCAACACACCAAAGCCAGCAGTAACACAGAAGCATTACTTCCCCTCAACAGACACACTTTCAGCTCCTGGGAAAATGTTTTAAGGGGGTTCCTCAGATGGTCTTCAACAAGCTGATTTCACTCACAATTTCTACCCGCTAAGCTCCCTCCTGTAAGTGCTGAGTGTGGTGCACTGGGCAAATTGTGGAATGTGACCCAATGGACATGTTACACCAGTGAGCCTGGTTGGCAGTGGCAGTTGGCAATTCGAACAAGGAGAGCATCACTGGCATGTCCGAATCCCATCACATTCCAGCAGTGTTTACTGGAATAATGATCGGGAACAGGGCCACTGAGCTCGGACTGCTCTGTTTGAAGAGCAATGGAAGTGAAGATTCTCTGACCTAACGGGGAGTGGAGACTGGGTTAATCAGAGTATTCAAGGTTTTTACTGACAAGGAAGTCAAGGGTCATGAGGTGCTGGGGGGAAAGGGGAGTTAAGGCCAGCCACATCAGATTTGCCACGACCTCCTTCTCTAATATAACATGGCACCAAATCACCTGTTAAACTAATGAGTTCAACAACTAATCAGTTAACGATAACAAAACGGCAGGGCAAAAGAGAGAGGGGCTACATCAAAATGGAAGAGGAGATAATGCACTCCAGCCTCTGCAGTGACCCCTTCTCTCTAAATGCCTCGAGGGTGTCAACCATGACCTAGATATTTTTCTAATCAACCTGTTTGGAGATGTTATTGTCTGGAGCAGGTGGGACTTGAACCTCAGGCAAAAGGTAGGGGCACTACCGCTATACCATAGGCGCCCCTTAAGCCATAACTGTATTTTTTTGTTGTGTCAAGCCCTGATCTTATGCTAACATAGGAATTAGGAACACGCGTAGACCATTCTGCCCCTCAGGCCTGCACCATCATTCAGTAAGACTAATCTGATTGAGGCTTCACTTCTACCTTTTGATCCCACCCCTAATAAACATTTATTCACGAATTGGCACAGCTGGCTCAAAGGGCTGACTGGCCATCTCTTGCCTCACTCTGGTCTTACCTGCAGATGGTCCCCACTTCAGTCGGTAGCCTGAAATTCCACTCACGCTTCTCCATGTCACTTGCACACTCTGCGGAGTTACGTTTTGAACGGTCAGTTGTTGCACCGATTCCAGAGACACTGAAACCACAAAAAACACACACACACGCACATTGTGTTTTACTTTGGTTCATGGCTGCCTGGGACCTGCTCAGCGGAAACTGCTCTCTAAATTCACCTCTGTTGTCTGTCTAATGAAATAATTAGACAGTTGTTTCAAGAGCTGGCACAGTATGATGGGCCTAATAGCCTTCTTCTGTGTTGTATTATTCCGTAAAGCATTGTTTTTAAGACTGGGCTTAAGGCAACTCAACACCAAGGCTACAGATACACACCAAACACACAGACACACCCAAACACACACGCTCGCGCACACGCACACACACACAAACACACACACTACACACACACACACACTCAGACACACACCGCACTTACACACACACACACGCACACTACACACATCCATGCATACACAACTACACACCACACAGACACACACACACACATACACACACAGATACAACACATGCGCACGCGTACACACACACAGATACAACACATGCGCACACACACAGATACAACACGTGCACACACAGACACAATCACATACACACATGCCCCACACACACACGCCCCACACCCTGCCATTAATAACTGACAAGCAAATCATTTCATGGGCAATAAATCCCGCAATGACATATTTGCGCTATTACGTTTGAGATCCAACAATAGCTCCAGGTGATAAACCTTTTTGAAAACTGTGAAAGAAACAGAAATGTTGTTGGATCTTTTCCCCTTGCACTCATGAGGATAGACACAGGAATAACAAATTTTAAAGGGAGCAGCAATTTACACTGCACAGGAAGTTGGTGCTAAATGTTGGCACCGTTAAATCTGGTGGGTTGAAGGGTTGCTGTGGTGAATGAATCAGGGAACTACTGTCTCCCAACATTTTAGTTCATTTAAAAAGAAGGAGCAATGTTAAAACATAGACCACTTTCTCCCCTCTTGGAGGTTTCAGGTACTTACAAGTCCTGCCAGAGATTGAGGTCGGTTCTGCTGTATTCCTTGGGTAGATGGGATGAATGGTAATGTCGTACTCTGTGTCTGGAAGTAGCTCTTCGAGGATGAAGGAGATGGCATTTGATCTCAAGGTCTTCTCCTCCAGCTGTGTGTCTGTGTCTCCTGTTTACAGGGGGAGTGGGGGAGGGCAGTGGGGCAATGGACGGATGGTGAGATCATGAAGCCAAGAAAGAAAGGGATATTTCAATCAGAATTGTACAACTGCTTTTAAGGCATTACCATAAAAGTCACCCTGCAACAAAATTGTTTTCAATGTAATGGGGAAGCAGGCTGCTCAGAATTTACCCAGTCAAGTGCTAAGAATTCTACGCATATAACAGTACAGCAAAGGAACAGGCCCTTCAGCCTATCAAGTCTGTGCTGACCATGATGCCATTCCAAATCAATCTCATCTGCCTGCACATAGTCTGCATCTCTCTACTCCCTGCTTGTTCATGCATCTGTCTAAATACCTTTTAAACATTGCTTTTGTATCTGTTTCTACCACCTCCCCTGGCAGCGCATTCCAGGCGCTCTGTGCAAAAAATCTTTCCTCGCACACCTCCTTTAAACTTTCCCCCTCTCATCTTAAACCTATGCTCTAGTATTGGACACTTCCGCCCTGGGAAAAAGACTCCAACTATCCACCCAATCCATGCGTCCCATAATCTTATATGCATCTATCAGCCTCTGGCACTCTCGTGAAAACAATCCAAGTTTGTTCATCCACTCCTTATAGCTCATACACTCCAATCCAGGCAACATCATGGATTACTTCATTAAAGATGCTATACAAATGCAAGTTGCTGTTGTTGAAGGAGCTACCTGCAAACCCACCGCACCCTCTTGAAGCATCACAGTCAATTAGTAGATGCCAATGTTACGGAATGGAACATTTTCTATTGTTTGGGATCAATGCCAGGGTTTGGATGATACCGTGATTGGAGAACTGTGCACAGTTTTGGTCTCCGTTTTTGGACAGGGATTTATTTGTACTGGAGAGCGTACAGTGAGGGTAAACTGGATTCCTAGGATGAGGATGGTCCAGTGATGAGAAGTTGAGTAAGTCTGAGTGGGGTATAGAAGAAATATGCAAGATTCTGACAGGCCTTAACAGGGTCAACACTGACAGGTTGACTTTCTTTGGTGGGGGAATCTAGAACACAGTTGTCCAGCCTCAGGATAATTTGGAACTGAGAAGTTTCTTCACCTTTTTTCCCCAAGATTGAGTACAATAGATTAAGCCAGCATTAATTGCCCATCCCTAATTGCCCTACAGAAGGTGCTGGTGAGCTGCCTTCTTGAACCGCTACAGCCTTTTGGGGTGTAGGTACACTCGCAATGCTGTTAGGGAGGGAATTTTGGGACTCTCACCTGGCAACACTGAAGGAATAACGATATATTTCCAAGTCAGGACGGTGCAAGGCTTGGAGGGGATCTTTTATGTATCTGCTGCCTTTGTCCTTCTCGGTGGGTAAGTATTGTATTTAATGACGGAACAAGCCCGAGGAGCCAAATGGTCCACTCCTGCTCTTATTCATTATGTCTTATAACATCAAATACTAATGAGCCATTCATAAGTGAGGGCAGTACACAAATTATTTCCCCTGAATAACCGTTCACCTCTAACTCAAAAGAACTGTTCCATTGCATTTTGTCCCATAAGGCAACAAGAAAGAGGAACTGGAGGAGGCCGTTCGGCCCCTCAAGCCTACTCCGCCATTCAATCGGATCATGGCAGATCCAACATTGCTCACATCCACTTTCCTGCAGTTTTTTATGTAACCACTGACTCCCCAACTGATGAAGAATCCAACTCAGCCTTAAATATACACAAAGACTCTGCCCCCATTGATCTCTGTGGAACAGAGTTCCAAAGATCCACAATTCTTCCTCATCTCAGCCTTAAATTGGTGCCCCTTTATTCTCAGACTATGCCCTCTGGTCCTAGACTTTCCCATGAGGGGAAACATCCTCTTAGCATTTACCCTGTTAAGCCCCTTAAGAATCCAATATGTTTCAATGAGATCACCTCCCATTATTCTAATCTCCAGTGAGTAGAGTCCCAACCTTTACCCTTTGCTCATAAAACAATCCCTCCATACCAGGGATCATCCTAGTGAACCATGATTGAACTGCCACCAATGAAATGATACCTTTCCTTAAGTAAGGGAGTAGCACAGTGTCTCAGTGGTTAGCACTGCTGCCTCACAGCACCAGGAACCTGGGTTCAATTCCAGCCTCAGGTGACTGTCTGCATAGAGTTTGAATGTTCTCCCTGTGTCTGTGTGGGTTTCCTTCCACAGTCCAAAGATGTGCGGGTTAGGGTGGATTGACCATGCTAAATTGTCCCATAGTGTCCATGGATGTGTAGGTTATGCGAATTAGCCATAGCAAGTGCAGGGTTACAAGGATAAGGTGGGGGGGGCCCAGATCTGGATGGGATGCTGTTTGGAGGGCTAGTGTGGATTCAATGGACAGAAAGGCCTGCTTCCACACTGTAGGGATTCTGTGATTCAAAACTACTCACAGTACTGCGGACGTGGTCTCCGTAGCATCTTTTACAGTTGCAGTAAGACTCTTATACTCCAATCGCTTTAACATTGCATTGACCAGCTCTCCATTAATATTGGATTGTGGACTATATTTTACTGAGCAAAACAAAACTGCTCAGCTTATCCCGCGCCTCATTTCAGGAAGATTTTCAACCAGCAACTTTCTCCCAAAAGGTTGGGCCAGGAATTGGAGCAGCCTTCCAGAGCAGAAACACTGTGTTCAAATCCAGTCTTTGCTTGTGTCTTTCTGATGGAGCATCCAGCTGTAAACTGTAGATTCTGTTGTGTAGGCGAGACACAGCATGTTTCTTGGCCTGTTTTCAATCACCAACCAATGTCAGAGATGTAAGATTTTCAACATAACATAATCATTGTGAAGTCTGTGTGTTAAATACAAGCACAGGATCTCTCTTCTGCCTCCTCAGCTGTTCCCTGTCATGCACACCCACCCTTTGAAGTACTATCGAAGGTTTGAGACAGTTGCTCAATAACGGGTATCAGGCGCTAGCTGGATAAGCATCCAGATCTTAAATGGCACACTGTTCATGTGAGTCCATTAACCAAATTCAAAGATCAAAAAAAATGCAGTGAGCTCAATTTCTGTCCCAAAAATAGAATAAGAGAATTTTACCACACAGAAGGAGGCCATTTAGCTCATCATGTCTGTACTGGCTCCTGAAAGAGCTACTCAGATAGTCTCACTCTCCAGCCCTATCTCCACAGCCATCTAAATTCATCCCTTTTGAATATATATCCAACTCTCTTTTGAAACCTCCAATGGAATCCATTCAGAGCAATTAACAAGCCCTTTGTCTTTTTACATCAGACATTCACAACAACTGTTACCCTTGATAGAGGTGGAAGAGGGGCAAAAGTATGTTTAAAAAAAACACTTTCCAACCCTTTTCAGTACTGACAAAGAGTCATAGTGGACTCAAAACAATGATTCTGTTTCCCTCTCTCCACAGATGCTGGCAGACCTGCTGAGTTTCTCCAATATTCCCTGTGTTTGTTACATATTAATTCGTTTTGACTGCTCTGACCTTCTGCAGCCAAGGGTAGATCAGGGGCAAGGGTGCACCATTGCCCCGACTCCATTATAAAAATGAAGCTTTGATTCAAATGTAAGTTTGTGACTTTGTGACTCTGACAGTAATTACAGGCACCTGTTTTAGTAATTCATTGAGTCATATAGCACAGCAACAGACCCTTTGATCCAACTCATCTATGCCGACCACATTTCCCAAACCAAACTAGTCCCATTTGGTCTATATGCCTGTAAACATTTCCTATTCGTGCACCTATCCAAATGTCTTTTAAATGTTGCAACTGTACCTGCATCTACCACTTCATTCCACATATACACCACCCTCTGTGTGAGAAAGTTGCCAGTCAGGTCCTTTTTAAATCTTACTCCTCTCACCTTAAAATTATGCCTTCTAGTTATGAAATCCCCAACCCTAGGGAAAAGACTTTTGCTATTCACCTTATCAATGCCCCTCATGATTTTATAAGGTCACCCTTCAACCTCCTATACTCCAGTGAAAAAAGTCCAAGCTTCTCCTTAGAACTCAAACTCTCCAGTCTGACAACATCCTTGTAAATCTTTTCTAAGCCCTCTCCAATCTAATAATATCTTTCCTATAGCAGGGCGACCAGAACTGCACACAGTATTCCAAAAGTGGCCTCAACAACATCCTGGACAAACTCAACATGACTTTCAACTCCTACACTCAATGGTCTGAGCAATGAAGGCAAGTGTGCGTTCTTTATCACTCAACAAATCAGAAGTCACACAACGCCAGGTTACAGTCCGACAAGGTTTATTTGAAATCACAAGCTTTCGGAAGCGTTGCCCCTTTGTCAGATGAGGTCAGTTCACCTGACAAAGGAGCAGTGCTCCAAAACCTTGTGATTTCAAATAAACCTGTTGGACTGTAACTTGGGATCATGTGACTTCTGATTTTGTCCATCCCAGTCCAACACAGGCACCTCCACATCACGGTTACCACTCACCCTTATAATTTGGTGTAATTCAGCTAATTCACTTTCATTACTTTATTTAAAATGGGAGAAGGAGAGACTGTTGGGAGAGAAGCTAGGAGGCGTACAAATGCAATGTTGCATTCTGGGAATCTCCCTATTATCGAGGAAAGGATGAGCATTTTGTTTCATGCATTGCCAACTAGTTTTAGGATTGGATGAATATCCTGGACTAATTTTTGATCGCCAAATGGGATTTTGGACAGGCATGCTCCATTTTAGTTGCTCTCTATCTGGCCTATAGCTTCATTCAGTTCTGTTCCCAGAAGGTAGCATGGCTCCAGGAGTTTGTGTGGTGTTTTTATTGTGTATTGCTGATAGAAAAATAATTGTTGAAGCCTTTCATCTTGCACTCATCAGGACAATTCACAAGAATAGCGATTTAATGGAAACTAACATTTATACTGCCATGAGAGGACAGCACTGATTGGTTAGCAAGTGGACTCTGACTGGTAGAAGTGTTGCTATGGGGATACACCACTGGGTACACTTGTGCAATATACAGGCAGTCACTGGGTTACAAAT